TCTTTCCCTTTTACCACTTACATTTCTTTCTATTTAAAATGAAATATCATGTCAAGAAATTTCATGTCAAGAAAACGAAACCACCAATTGGTAAACCTTGGAAATTTTTTCCTGTAACTCATTAAGACTCCTTGAACTGAAACTAGGTGAGTGATAGTCCCTTCATGTCCATGGCATGAATGTTAATACTTGTCTGAATTAAGCAGTTTATGAAGATTACAAGAGCGAAAACATCATATTGCTACAGGAGAACTTCCAAAGAATTATTCTCATTAGTAAGTCAGAAAAGAATTATTGGCTTAAATGATTATCAGATGAATCACTGAGAAAGCAGCCTTAGATTTTGTTTTGTTTTGGAGGCAGAAGCCAACTTCAGAAAGGGTTACATTCAAATATGGTGTGACCATGGCTGCTGCGTAAGGGTGTGTAGATTGTGGCTGAAACAGAGATCTTGCCCGGGACAAAGTGGAGAGGGACTGATTTCCATTCTATTCTCTACTGGCAGCTGTGCCCTTAACACAGGGCTTCTACTATACAGAAAGAAGTATTTAATCTATCTTTTTCTTATTCACATAAAGGTGCCTGTCTGTGTGTGGCCTATGAATGGTCAATACAAGGTGGGAATTGAAAGACACATCATTGACTTAATTAAAATATGTCTGCATTCAAATGAATTCAAATAGTTGAGGGAGGAAACATTTATTCTGATATGGTTACTATTGGACAAGGTTGATCTAGAACTCATATTTGTGGTTTGCCTTCAAAATCTGAGGCTCATTCTTTTAAAATTTTTGTTCAAAAAATATATATTTTAAAAATTTTAGCATAGTTTTAATTTTTGCAAATAAAGTTACTAGGAGTGCAATTTTATAAGTAAGATGGGAAACACTTCTGGGAGGTAAAACATTGGAAATTGCAAACAAGTAATTTTATGAATTTACTTAAGCTTTCGTAGCTTAGTTAGCAAGCATTCTAATAATAGAAACCTTGAAACAACTATACCATATGAACAAGAGAATAAACCGTTTAAACTTAATTCCATAAAAACAGAAGGAAAACTCCATCACAAGGTAATTTCAGGAAGCTTAACATGAGCTTCCCCAATTTTTCCAGTCCTCAGGCCACTCCTTCTTCAGTTGCCATTTGGAAGGGTGCAACCCTGTGTGCGACTTGTGTAGACTATTTCTACAGCACATCTAAGAGTTAGGAGGCACTGTGTTAAACACCACACCCCAGTTTAAGCCTAAAGCTACAGGGGTCTTTGGGCAAGCTGCTTGACCAGGATTTTATTTTATTTTATTATTTTATTTTTTTACCTTGGATCATTGTGCATTTGGATCAATGATTTATATCTTCCTTTGACTTGGAGAAATAACAAAGACTGATGTTAAGATACCCATGAGGGATCCATGGAAACATAATCATTGGCATTTGTTTATCCTTTTTGTAGTTTTAAGAAAATTTTAATTTTAATGGAGTAAGATTAATTAACATTATATAAATTTCAGGTGTACAACTTTGCAATATGACATCTGTATACTCTATCGTGTACTCACCACACCATGTCTAGTATCATTCTGTCACTATTTGACCTATTTTACCTCTTTGTCCTCCCTACAACCCCCTTCCCCTCTCGTAATTACCATTCTGTTGTCTATAAGTTTATTTTCTTGTTTTGTTTTGTTTGTTCATTTGTTGCTTTCTGTTTTATACCCCACATAAAGTCATATGGTTTTCTGTTTTATACCCCACATGAAGTCATATGGTTCTTATCCTTTTCTGTCTGACTTATTTCACTTAGCATAATACTTTCAAGATCTATCCATGTTTTTGCAAATGGCAGTATTTCATCTTTTTATGGCTGGGTAGTATTCCATCATATATGTGTACCACATGTTCTTTATCCAATCATCTGTCGAAGGACACTTAGGTTGTTTCTATGTCCTAGCTATTGTGAATGATGCTGCAGTAAACACAGGGGGTACAAATAAGTGTTTTAAAAATTTTCAGGTAGATACCAAGACGAGGGATTTCTGGGTCATGTGGTAACTCTATTCTTAATTTTTTGAGGAAGTTTGTTAACGTATATTGTCTCACTTAGTCCTGGCAGGCTTGGAGATTTGTATTCTCGCTTTACAAATGACAAGACTTTAGAGAGCAGAGATGTCAAAAGGTTATCTTAAAATCATACATAGCTAATAAGTAACTATACAGAGACTTAAACTGGGTTTTCAGGGAGTGGGTCCAGCAATACTTATAAAATACCAGACTGGTGATAGATACTGTTTTTTAAAGGGCAGTTCTTATAGTTCAAATGAAGAAAAAATACATCTGAAGATGAAGTTCTTTCAGCAAGAGCAAGGCTAACACTTTATTAATTTCACATCTACACACACATTCTACTATTTGATAGTAATATTTTGAATAACCTTATTGCATGTGCACACCACAATTAAAATGGTTCATTACCTAATCTCTCTAATTTATGCTCATAAAGAAAGAAATACACTTGTCCCTAACTAATTATTCTGGTCTCTGCAAGAAAATGAACTATTTTTTTCAAACCTCACCAATTAATCTTTTGTCCTCATTTGAGAAGGTATTGTTTCTATAAAGCCTCATGCTTGGATTACAATTTAACTTTCTGAGCACTGTTCTGGAAATTAGATAGGTAAATCACATCGTTAGATACTAAGGCTATGCCTTTAGTTTGTTTCAAATTTTTGAGATCTATATAGCAGCCAAACTTGATTCAAGATTAACCTGTTAGGAGGTTTCTTTCCCCCTGAACTGAACACAGTGTTTTGTTTGTTTGTTTGTTTTATTTTCTATTTTGGTATAGTTTATTTGACCTTTTTTTTTTTTTCAGGTAGATAATTTAAATGAAATAAAAATATGTGATTTTTTTAGTAATAAAGAGTTCAGAAACAAAAGCCAGATAGACCTGCAATTAAATTCCTTCTCCCCCATTTGTTAGCTACATGACCTCTGGTAGGTTACTTCCATTCTCTTAGACATTGTTTCTTCATCTGTAAAATGGGAATATTTACAGCATCTATCTCCAGTAAGGATTAGGTGAGATGAGCTCTATTATGTACTTAAAACAATGCCTCACTCACAGAAAACATTGAATACCTGTGCGGTTATTGTTGTTCTTGTTCTGGACCAAAATTAATTCAAGAAAGAAGACAAAAGAAGGATGTAAAGCCTTAAGCTCTATTAGGAGGGTGATCTGCCTATGGTTTTTGTGCAGGGTAGGCTCAGAGAACACCTGAATGTTGGCAGTAGAGGTAAAAGTGGGTGGCATCAAACCGAGTATAAACTAGCCTATTCTGGTGAAAAGTTCTTCATTCATTCATTCATTAAAAAAAAAATTCTCTTTTGTCTCTCTTCATTCTTTTTTTCTTCCCATCATGATCTTCGTTCTTTTTAGAACTCATGTCAGCTACCTGTTAAGTACCTTAAAGCAAATGAAACAGATTAAATGAGCCTTTTTAAGGGAATTTTTTCTTAATTTCTAAAGATAAAAGTACACTTCCTGAAGCAAGTGAATACTTGTATAATATTTTAAACTGCTTTTCAGTGCTCCATGGCTCCAGTAGGCTGTTGGTCTGACACTTCTCCATTCCTCCCTCCACCACCTAGTTCAGATGAGTATCCTCTCTGCCTTCGTCCTCAGTGCCATAGTCTGTAGTAGAAACAAAGCGCCACCTCAGGGTGTGTTAACCATATGGAGAAGCTTTGATGACAGGGCCTGTTGGATGTGGCTAGCTGACTGTGGTTATACACAACTTATTTTTTTAACTAAATAAAAATCCCATATTCTACAGTGCTTTAATCTCTTATCTTCTTCTGTAACACAAATCTCAAGCAGTCATTTCTTTTTCAGGCCCTGCTTGAGTTTCTCCAAAGAGTTATAGACAATAAAGAGAAAAATAAGATGACAGTCATGAATGTAGCAATGGTCATGGCTCCAAATCTCTTCATGTGTCATGCACTGGATTTGAAGTCTAGTGAACAGAGAGAATTTGTAATGGCAGCTGGGACAGCTAATATCATGAACTTATTGATTAAGTATCAAAAACTTCTGTGGACAGTAAGTATATATTTTTCAGCCCTGTTAATGAATGATGACATCTAGATTCTAAAGTCTTTTTATTAATTGTTATATTCTCTATAAAAAGGTAACTAATATAAGTGATTTCAAATGTGATTTTTTTAAAAAAATTAACATCTATTAAATCTCAATTTTTAAAATGCTAACATTTCATTGTTTAAATTTGATCACTTCTATAATATTTCATTTTGCCAATGTAACTTCTGTGGACCAGATTTTCCTGAATTATTGCTAAATACCTTTTAGTTCTTATTTGTGAGTTTTTCTCCAGCTAGACAGGAGTGGCTAGCTGGCTATTAGAAGGGGACTATAGATTAGTGAGAGGCTAGGTTGTGGAAAGGTAGCTGCTAAAGGGTGGCCTCTATTGCCAGACACCTCAGCAGTCTCCAATCTTAGCATACAAGGCATAGAAAACAACTAATATGCTCTTGAACTTCACCAAACCTCTTTTTGAAACTTATACACTAGGTGGTAAATTGCATCATGTGGATGCTCTGTACACGTGGTGAATAAATAACACTATGTATTTTGTTTCACAGATTTAATAAAGGGTGCATGTAAAATGGCATAGTCTTAAAAAAGATAAAACCTTTTTTCAAAATTGAAGAAATAATATAATTCCATAGTTAAAAATGGTGCCACTTCTTTTTCCTCTCCAAACTTAATTTCATTTCTCCACAGATTCCCAAATTTCTTGTGAACCAAGTGAGGAAGCAAAACACTGAAAATCTTAAAAAAGACAAAAAAATGATGAAGAAATTGCTGAAGAAAATGGCTTATGACAGAGAAAAATATGAAAAGCAAGATAAGAGTGCAAATGATGTAAGAAAAACTTGAAGATATGTTTTTATGCAGATTTCAGCATTGTTTTTTAATGTAACACACAAAACAAAGAGTTTTATATGTTTTTGTAGTCTAACTTTCTACACACCGAATAGGCCCTGGTACTACTTCTAAGTCAAAGGCATCAATAACGGTAACTGCACTCCTATAACTACTAATGCTCAGAATTGATAGTTGCTCAGGTGTCGGTGATTCAGCATGTGCATTGTTCATGGGTAACAAAGGAAAATAACAAGACTGGAATGTCTCAACACACACACACACACACACACACACACACACACACACACATCCATGCATAAATAGCAAAGGACTTCCTGGAGACTCCAGTTGCCCGGTGAATGTGTAATGTCTCGTGAGTACAGAGTCCCGTGTGGGTGAACCACTGATCTCTTTTCTTCAATTTTCTCATCTGTAATATGAGGATAAATAACTCACCCAGATAGACAAATAAGTCAGCGTTTGTGTTGTGCCTAGGATCCTTCCTGGACTTCAGTAAGTATTTCAAGGTTCTTAATTGGATCATAAGAATTTGGAGAAAGTTTTGTTGGAATAAAGACAATTAAATGTCTCAAAAATAGAAATACCTAAATAATAGTATTTACAAACTGCTGTAAGAATATATTAATAATTGGGTTTAATATAATGAAATATATGTGAAAACACGTTTATGAGGTGAGTTACCAAAGCTCTAACTTCAGATCATGAAAGGAAAGTGTTTCCATTGTTCTGTTGGCAGTGAGGACCACCGCACCACCAGCACCATCGAGGTTATTCAGTTACATATTGCCATCTTGTGGAATAATGTGAAAATGCAGTTATCAGCCTTTGATTTTTCTGCTTTGGCCTACTTAGGCATCTAGTAATTGTTAAAAAAAAAAAAAATCCTCCTACGATTTTTTGTAGCACTCACTGTTACAAAATAACATTTTCTTGGCATTAAACATTTTTATTCAGTTTTATTTATTTATTCATTCATTCATTCATTCATTTATTTATTTATTTATTTAGGCGAGGCAGTTCTTGGTTAACCTCACAGATTGCAAGGACCTTGTCGGTTTACAATCCTTTATTTTTTTTTATTTTTAACACCTACTGCACCTGGTCTTCCTAAGTGGTCTCCCATCCAAGCACTAACCAGGCCCAACCCTGCTTAGCTTCCAAGATCAGACGGGATCAGGCTTGTTCAGGGTGGCATGGCTGTAGACTTTATTCAGTTTTTAGGTATCTTTAAAAACAAAATTTAATGAAGAGAAATTGTAAATAGTGCTTATATTTTTGAGAAAATTTGATTTTATCATAGATTAGAAAGGATTTTTGATATCATTTTTGCTTAACTTATAATGGTCTATTTCCTCTAAAGCCATTATAAATATGTAAATATCTTCTTGTTTTGTAGCTCTACTTATTCATATTAACTTAAGTGACTTTACAGCCTTGTCTTTTTTGTAAGGCAGTTACAACGTGATAGTCGGAAGCACAGTATATATCTAAGGAAACAAAATTTGTGCTTTACCATTTTAATAATATTTTTTTAATAAAAATTAAAGGTTACTTTTTTGTAACATCTAAATGATTTTGTCATTTACAGATGAACAGCATTTACTTGGATTTTTTTTTTTTAATTTGTACTTTGGGTTAATTAGGTATGAATTGGTCTAAGAATTATCTCTATTAATTGGAAGCTATAGTGGTCATTTTAAGGCTTGAGACATAAACTTGGATTTAAATCTCAGTTTTATCATGTATTATCGGTGACTCTGTTTCTCTGAGTTTTGGTTTTCTCTTCTGAGAAATTCAGTGGTTCTTTTAACAAAAGGCTACTAAGTGCCTCCTTGGTGCCAAGCCCCCACTCCCTGTGAGATATACAAAGAGAAATGGGGTTGATGCTCACCCACAGGGAGTTAGGAGAGATTTGGTCTCAGAGAGGCTAGAGATATGTGATGGAAGCCTGACCAAGGTATCCTGAGCTACAAAACAGCATGTGGGCATCAGAGAGGAGCGGAGCCAAGATGTGAAAAAAATGTAGGTTTTATTCAGGCAGGAAATTGAAGAGAAAGGCCTCCCTAACAGAGGAAGCTCCCTGGCAGAGTGGCAGCATATAGGTGATCATGATTCACAGTAGAGATTCATTTGGCTTATCTTTTTGGTTGAAAATTTTTCATTAATTGCCAAAATACTTTTTCTAATTACTATCATTTTGTTAGGGAGAATAAATATACATAGAAAACAATTACAAAACAACAAATAAAGTACAAAATAATATCAAATACTGTGACTATGTGGTGAGTCACTAAATAATCAGAGTTTTCTGCATAAGTTTCCATCAGTTGCCAGAATTTTAAAATTAAAAAATTTAATGTAAAGATCTGGATTTCCATCATAACTTGACAAACTGGACGTAGGAGCATTCTTGTGTCCTCTTGCAGTAGGGGACCTGCTTTTCTGCAGGGTAACAATTTCCTGGATTGGAGTAGAGCTCTTTCCTTTGGATGGGACATGGGCCATTTATTCTGCCATAAGCCACTATACCCCTGCCTGTTTTGTCTTGTTGATTTATGTTTCTCAACTCTTCCTTGAATATGCAGCACAAAACTATAGAGCATGAAACTGCCTGAGAAATAATATTAATGTGTTAAACCAATATTCGATGTGTGCTTTTTATGTGCCAGGCATCTTCTAGGCACTTGAAATCGATTATTGAACAAAACAGATAAAGATCATTGCTCTTGTACCACTTAAATTCTATAAATAATAATAAATAGAATATGCAAATCACATAGTATCTTAGTATGTGGTAAATGCTCTAAAAATAATAAAAATAGTAGAGCAGAAAAAAGGGGAATTGGGAGGGGGAATCCTCTTGCATGATCAGGTTGGGTTGTCTGAGTATTACTCATTTGAGTGAAGATGTGAAGGAGGGCAGGAAGCTGAGCTGTGCGTCTATCTGAGGAAGGACATTCCAGGCAGTGGAAATAGTCTACACAAAAGTCTAAAGGCAGAAACTTGCTTGGAGGATTTAAGGACTAGCAAAGAGTTATTGTGACTAACGCGGAGCCAGCAAAGGGGATGGTAGTAAGAAATGAGGTCAGAGGGACAATGGGACCAGATTATATAAAGCCTTGAAGGCCATCATTAGTAATTTGGATTTACCCAATGTGAAATGGGGTCATTGCAGGATTGTGAGCAAAGGCTTGAAAATCTGTACTTTAAAATGACATCTTGGGCTATTGTGTTGAGAATAGATTCTAGCAGGGCAAGGATAGAAGTAGGAGACCACTTAAGATGCCCACGTCTCAATCTAAGTGAGAGACCAGAGTATTTGCACTGGAGGTGGAGAAGCAGTCAGATCCTGGATATATTTTAAAGTTAGAGCCATTGAGATTTCTTGATGATGAAATGATAAGAATTGTAAGACAAGTGAAGAATGACTTCCAAAGATTTTGCCCTGAAAAGTTGGAGAGATGGAATTGACACTTGCGAAAGATCACAATTTCAATTTGGAACCTGTTGAGTGTAAGATATTTATTAGATATCTAAGTGTGATTGTGTGTGTGTGTGTGTGTGTGTGTTTTGGGGGAAAATTAGGTCATACTGGCTGGCCAGTGAGATACATGAAGGGGCAGGGACAGAAGAAAGGCAGAGATAGGGCTCAGGGAAGAGCCAGGCTATCTTTCTGTATATGACAGGGAACGGCCGAAAGTTATAACTGGAGTTACATAGTTTACCCTTGAACAACAAGGGTTTGAATTGCATAGTTCTGCCTGTATGCAGATTTTTCCAATAAATACAGTCAGCTCTTCATATTCACAGGTTTCACATCCACGAATTCAACAAACCACTGATTGAAAACAGTATTTTCTATCTGCAGTTGGAAATTGTGGATACAGAGGGCTGAATGTATGAGTTATTCTGTGACATCTAATTAAGGGACTTGAGCATCCTTGGATTTTGGTGTCCGTGGAGGTTGGAGAGCGGGGCATCTTGGAACCAAATCCCCGTGGATATTGAGGGCTGACTGTGTTTGCATTTTAGAATAGTTGTTATGAAGGCAAGTGGAGGAAAGATTGGAGGAATGAAAGATAGAAGGTTAGGTAGGAGATGCTGGCTAACTTCCTTGCTGATGGAAGTATATAAATTGGTAGAATCCTTTTGAAGAGTAGTTGGCAAGTGGCAAAGGTCTGAATACCATGCTCCTCATTGGACTCAGAGATTCTTTCAAAGGGAATAATGAGATGATCGTGCAAATAGTTATGCTTAAGGTCATTGCCATTTTCTTTATACTGGCCCAAATTAGAAATAATCCAAGAGGATAGAGATGATTAGTTAAATATATTATGGCGTATTATGTAACGGAATACCATGAAAATGTATAAGTGTATATATTGACATCAAAAGATATTCGTAATATGTTGAAATAAGTTATAAATCAGCGAGTAGTATATTGCTATATTTGTAAGGGGTAATAATTATAACTATTTTGAATGCTTACCAGAGGTCAGGCATGATCCTTGACATTTTATCATCTCATTTAATATTCATAGTAGTTTAATTAGTGTATATTATTGTCTTATTTTTTACATATCAGGAAAGCGAGGATCAGTAGTCTTAAATAACTTACTAACGGTTATCTAGATAAGAAGTGATGGAACTTGAAACCAAATCTATATGACTTTTAATACAGGTCTCTCTACCATTATCCTCTATTTCCCACTGATTACAGAAAAACTCTGAGAAGTGATATATCCCAAAATCCTAGGTTCACATTTGGTAATACAGTGAACATGTATTACTCCTATTATAAAGTATGATTAATATATAGCTTTTCAAAGACTCTTGGGCCAAGCTAAAGCCAGGCAAAGGGAATAGAAAGAAGTTGAATGTGAGCAGGTAGGACCCATAAGATGTGGAAGCCGATTGGATATGAAGAGTGTGGAAGAAAGAGGACTCTAGAACGACTCACTGATTTTACCATGAGT